GTTGTTGTTGTTGATCTTGTTGTTTATTCGGTGTGTTGTGTGCAGCCTCCTCATGATGGAACCACATTTCACCTCCATTTTTAAGGCTTTAGCAGGAGCCGAGACGCGAGAATATAAATGACACAAACGAGGGAAGGTGTTCGCCTACCTGCTCGGTTTCTTTCCTCCGCGTTGCCAGGTGTTTATCTGTCCCAAAGTTTACTTCTTTTTTGTCCTATGTGTTGTGCCTTCTCCAACGGGTTCTCTCCCCTAGCTAGGCTCTACACTAGCAGCAAGCCAGCAAGATTATTAATTGCTTTTTCCGGTCAACAATTTACAAAATAAAGGTTTGTTTTGCTTTGTTTCAAAGCACAAAGAGGTATTATATCCGATGAGGAGTGTGTGGTAATGTAATATAAATTAGGCTTTTTTTTATATCTGACATTTAGTCAAATAGGCTATAATTTGTTCAGCTCTTAGCAGGCATAAATAAATATAATAATAATAAGATATAGTAATGTATAGTAAAAAAAAAAAAAGTAAAATGACTAAATTAATTATTTAATTTTATGTAGCTGCCAGAGCCATTAGAATATAATATCGTACATATATATAATATCTTAATGGCTCTGATATAATCTAGTGTTTAATCTGTAATCTGTCAACAGACAAACACACAATTCAAGAGAATAAAGTTGTTCTATGTTCTATGTCCTATTTTCTATTTATAACCAGATTACATAGTTATTTCCAGGAAGTTTGCAACGAAAAAACAAGCAACAAAGTGTCATTAAACATTATTATTATTTTGATATATTGATATTCCATGACACCTGTCTTTGAGTCACCCCGAACACAATGCGTAAAAGTTTATTTTAGCTCAATGTCAAGCTTAACATCTGTTTTATTTCATGGCAATAGTCGAAATTAATCCTAAAATGCATTGAACGTATCGTGTGACAAAATGCTTTTAATTTGAAGTCTACTGACGTTGGCCTCGGTTCCGGTTTGGTTCTCGTTAGCTCGGGCCAACTTGACGTAGCTCTGACGTGCATGTTTACTGACTTCCAATAGAACGCACGTTGTACACGTGACCGAGCTCTGTGGGCGGGCTCGTACTCGCCTTGTTCTCGTGCACGTGTACGCCCCACCTACCAGCTGCTCAGTTACAGGATTACTTAGAAATAAAAACAAGTCACTGCAGCTGCTGTCAGATAAATTGATGGGGAGTAAAAGGTGGTGGGCACGAGTATCAATAATGCTGTTTGTAGTCATGTTAGTATAATGATAAAAGTATTGATTATATACACGCTGTTATCAAACTATATGGACCCCTGCACCATGCAGTTCAATGAGCAGCCCTGCAATACAGTGAAATGCTGTTTCATTTGATTGTTTTATTTTGAAAGTTTTCACCAGTGTTCTTAGTATGTTATAGAGCAGGAATAACTCAATTTGTATTGCCAGGGCCCCCTTTTTTGTTAAATGACAGGAGGCCAGTTGATAAACAAACATGAGTGATATTTAGCAGATAAAATGAACAGACATTAGGTTCACTGATGTGGTGACTTCATAGTCGTAATCAGGAACGCTGCACTGAACCTAGCGTGTTTTGACTCATGATCGTGCCTGATATTAGCAACCTTGCATACAACAAATTAAACACAGTGGTTTAGGATTTGTATGAGGTGGAAAATAAAGGGGAAACTTAGCAGTTTGTTTTTCACTGAATTGCATGTTTTGTTGTCAACATTTCAATGTTTGCTATCCTCGCTTATCTTTGCCGAGAGATAAATCCAGTCGCAGCAGCCCAGCGCAGGTCAGGTGTACGTGAACTTTTCCCAGAAATCAAGTGTTGACTTCAGAGTATTCACTGCATTCTAGTGGCCACAGTGAGGAACTGCAATTAGACTGTGGCTAACACACATTGTTTGTATAATTACTATTAAGTATCAGTACAATTATTAGTGTGATTATTACAAAGACAAATTGTACTAGAGACGAGTATTAGTGTAATTTCTGCCTTCCTCCCTGTGGAGTTGAGTGCTCAGAGGGGAAATGTAATGTTCTACATTAAATTCATGGCTTACAAACGCATCCTCTATGTAATGCATTGCAATAAACAAACCTGCAATAAATGCTGTGTATCAGAATATAAGTGACAATGGACAGAAGAAACTGTCAGCTGTCACATTTACACAGGTGCAGTTGACTGAGTGTTCACTGCCCTCTAGTGGTCACAGTAAGAAACTGTAACACTACATTAGATTTGAGGTTACCACAAAGTTTTAAAAATATTTAACACTATTTTTTTGGTCACCTGGAGAACGCAGAGAGTAGTAACACAATGCGTATCATCTCTTTAAGAACCTGTGTGTGATATTTACGAAGATCTACTGGCAGAAATTGAATATAATGTATGTTTTCATTAGTGTATGATCACCTGAAAATAAGAATCGTTGTGTTTTTATTAACTTAGAATTTGAAATTTGCAAGTTTTGCCAGGGTTTTGTAATCTGCAACAACACCACTAGATAGCACTAAATCCTACACACTGGTTCTTTAAGTTGATATGGCGAAATCATTGCATAGGGTTGCTTATTTATGTCCAGCAGAAAGGGAGTAACATTAGCATTCATTGGGAGTTGTGTCTCTGGCCGACTGGTATCTCTGGTTTGGCCTCCACCAACTCCTGAGGAAAAATATCTGGCTCTTTAGCAGCTAAATGCTTCACTATGTCCAACAGCTAGTCGCCTGCCAGCTCTATCTAGCAGCTAACTGTATAACCATTGTATACCTCCTATAACTGCATTTATTGTGTGATTACTAAAGATAGGATGAGTAATATCACCACTGGTAGAGACTGAGTCACAAACAAGTTAGACATGCTAGAAAGACTGAGGAGATCGTTCCTCCCCCACGCCATGAGGCTCTTCAACTCCACCCAGGG